GATTTGCTGAATGCAATATGTTGTTTGATTTCTTGACTGCTGCTTCCGTGAGTGTAGATAGTTGATTCAAGAAGAATGAAGTCCTTGACAACGTCAATCTTTTCTCTTTTGATAAGAAAGTTGTTTATTGATCCAGTGGTGAGGATTACACTGAGATGCAATCCATACCAAAGGCTGTGTTCTTTGATCTTCATCAGTAAGTATTTTAAGTCCTCTTCACTTTCAGCAAGCAAGGTTGTATCATCTGCATATCGCAGGTTGCTAATAAGTCTTCCTCCAATCCTGATGCCATGTTTTTCTTCATATAACCCAGCTTCTCAGATTATTTGCTCAGCATACAGGTTGAATAAGTATGGTGAAAGAATACACCCCTGTTGCACGCCTTTCTTAACTTTAAACCATTCAGTGTTCCCATGTTCTTTTTGAAAAACTGCCTCTTGATTCTTGAACAGATTCCTCATGAGCACAATGCTCCAGAATACTCATACTTCACAATGTTGTCCATAGCTTGTCATGATCCACACAATCGAAAGCCTTCATGTAGTCAATAAAACATCAGCAATGATAGTCCTCATTCCATGGCCTCTTCTGAATCCTACTTGAACCTCTTGAAATTCTCTGTCGATGTATGCTTGCAGCTATTTCTGTATTACCTTTAGTAAAATTTTACTCATGTGGGATATCAAAGATATTGTCTGATGATTTCTGCATTCCGTTGGGTCACCTCTCTTTTGAATGGGCAGAAATACGGATCTTTTCCAATCAGTCGGCCAGATAGTTGTCTTCCAAATTTCTTGGCAGAGATGAGTGAGTGCCTCCAGTGCCGCCTCACTTTCTTGAAAGATTTCAATTTCTATTCCATCAATTCCTGGTGCCTTGTTCGTTGCCAATTTCTTCAATGCAGCTTGGACTTCTTCCTTCACTATCATTGGCTCTTGATCATATGCTACCTCTTGAAATGGTTGAACATCAAACTTTTCCTTTTAGTACAGTGACTCTGTATTCCTTAAAGACCGAAGACCAGAAGAGTTGTGGGATGACATCAAGAACATCATACAAGAAGAAAGCAAAAAGTCATTAAGGAGACAAGAAAGAAGGAAAAGATCAAAATGGATGTCAGAAGAGACACTGAAACTTGCTCTCCAGCATAGAGATGCTAAAGCAAATGGGAGAAATAAGGAGGTATAAAAGCTGAACAGAAAATGTCAAAGGTCAGCTCAAGAAGACAAAGTCAAATATTACAACAAAATGTGCAAAGATCTGGAATCAGACAACCAAAAGGGAAGAACACGCTCAGCATTTCTCAAGCTGAGAGAACTGAAGAAAAATTCAAGCCTTGACTTTCGGTATTGAAGGATTCTCTGGGCAAATAATTTACATTTATAGAAGACTTTATTTCACTCTTGGTCCAATCTGACTCTCACAGTAACTCCATTTGTCAGGTAGGGAAACTGAGGTTTAGATCATACTGATAAATGGTAGCACCTGGATTCAGATTTAGGCCTCTGACTCTAACTCTGTTGTACTTCCAATTTCATGGCAGTATCCCTTATTTAAGGAGCTCTGATGGCATTGTAGGATAAACATTTTCTGCTAACCACAAGGTTGGCAGTTCAAACCCACTAGTTGCTTCACAGAAGAAAGATGAGGCTTTCTGCTCCTGAAAAGATTTACAGTCTCAGAAACCCTATACAGGGCCACCATGAGTCAGAATTGAGTAGATGGCCATGGGATTGGATTCCTTGTTGAATTTCAATGGCTGCTGCTATAGCCTCTCAGAACCCCTATTAAAATTCTCTTTGTTCTTGTGCCTCTCCCACATTCTTAACAGTCATAACATGGCAAGGTCAGGCAGAGGTAGCATAACTATATATATATATATGTTGTTGTTGTTAAGTGCCGGTGAGTCGGTTCTGACCCATAGCGACCCTGTACAGGGTTTCCGAGGCTGTAAATCTTTATGGGAGCAGAAAGCCTCATCTTTCTCCTGTGGAGCAGCTGGTAGTTTCGAACTGCTGACCTTGCGGTTTGTAGCCCGATTCATAACCACTATGCTACCAGAGCACTCTGTCTCTCTCTATATATCTATCTATCTATACACATACACACACACACACACACACACACATATGTATATATATATACATTTGTTGTAGTTAAATGCTGTGGAGTCGGTTCTGACTCATAGCGACCCTGTACAGGGTTTCCGAGGCTGTAAATCTTTATGGGAGCAGAAAGCCTCATCTTTCTCCTGTGGAGCAGCTGGTAGTTTCGAACTGCTGACCTTGCGGTTTGTAGCCCGATTCATAACCACTATGCTACCAGAGCGCTCTGTCTCTCTATATATATCTATCTATCTATACACATACACACACACACACACATATGTATATATATATATACATTTGTTGTAGTTAAATGCTGTGGAGTCGGTTCTGACTCATAGCGACCCTGTACAGGGTTTCTGAGGCTGTAAATCTTTACAGGAGTAGAAAGCCTCATCTTTTTCCTGTGGAGCAGCTAGTAGCTTCGAACTGCTGACCTTGTGGTTCACAGCCTGATTCGTAACCATTACGCTACCAGAGCTCCATATATATATATATATCTGGTAGTAGAGTGGTTACATGTTGGGCTGTTAACTGAAAGGTCAGCAGTTCAAATCTACCAGTTGCTCCAAGGGAGAAATGTGAGGCTTCCTCCTCCTGTAAAGATTTCCAGCCTCGGAAACCCTGTACAGGGTCACTATGAGTCGGAACCGACTCCACGGCACACCACTACCATAGCACTGGGTTGCTAACCACATGGTTAGTGGTTCAAACGCACCAGTCCCTCCTTGGAAACCCTGTACAGGGTTGCTATGAGTTGGAACTGACTCAATGACACTTAACAACAACAAGAACAACAACATAGCCAGTGAGGGTCAGTTCAGTCACTGTTCAGGACAGGGGCCAAGGTCTGGTCAGGCTCAACATCACAGAAGAAATCCTGGAGGAAGGGGTGTAGAATGGGGGTAAATAGAGTTGAAGGCCTGCACCATTGGTTGGTGGGGAAACAATCTTATCAAATGATGCCACTCTTGGACTACCATCTCCTCATGCTTCATGCTTTTTAATCATAATCTTCACCAATGTCAGCACATTGTTTTAACATTCTGAGAACACTCCACTTCTGAAGTTCATGATTAGGGAGAGCCATTGTCTCCTCCTGCCTCAACCAGTTAGGTCTGAGTTGAGGAAAAGGAAGGCAATGGGCATTTATTATAGTCAGGAACTTTGATGATCTCCTTTACTTCTCTCCAAATGAGAGGTTTTTACAGAGGGGGAAATTGAGCTTCCTAGAATTACATAACTCGCTCAAGGACACACAGCCTGGAAGTGGCAGAGCAGAGACTGACGCTCAGGAATGTTTGGCCATTTCTCTCTTGCCAGCACTGGCAGGGCAGATGTTTCAGCTCTTAAATTCTTCTGTTCCAGAAACCCTAATGTATCACAATCCTGCAGAGAAGGCAGCCCCTCTGCCCAAAGCAGCTTTGCTGACTGGCAGCAGGAGCAGGATTGTTGTTGTTAAAGTGCTGTCGAGTTGGTTCTGACCCACAGTGACCCTGTATAGGGTTTCCAAGGAGCTACAATTGCCTACCTTGCAGTTCAAATAGCTTTGTATTAACCCACAGCGCCACACCAGTAGCAGGATTAGGAGATGTAAATCCATTTATAGTCCTCAGAAAATTAGATCTGGAATGAACATTTTAGAAATGGAAGGGACAATCAGACAGCGACCTTAAATTCTGTGGGCGAGGAAGCTGAGACCAAGAGAAGTTAAAGGTTTGCCCAGGCCACACAGCTAGTGGTGAAGCTACTTCAGATGAGGGCTAGGAATTCAGTACATCAGTTAAGACCACTGGGAAACGGAGAGAGAGGGTGGAGGAGAGAGAAGCAAAAAAAGTAAAAGCAATGTACATGTAGCCAGAAAACAAAAGACCAGTGTTTGAACCAAGACTGAACATACAGATCTCGGGTGGGCTAAAGACAGAGATTCACAAGTGACTCCCCAGATTTTGTCTTGTCCCCATCACACATACAGTTGGAAGCCAAATGCAAACCACCAAGGTTGCAGTGAAACAGCGAACAATTATAGTGCAAATATTTGCGGGCAGCAGTAGGGGTGCAGGCCACCTGCTCCAAGTTTACAGCTTTGTTAAACTTGGTAAACATGAAAAACGGAACGGGAACGCCCACAGTCGGTACAGCATCCCAGACCCCTCCTGGGAGGCCTTGGTCAGAGAACTGGGGTGGCCTTGCCCTTGACAAGGCCTGTCTCACCAAAGCCGACAGCTGCTTTCTGTTGGTAGGAATCAATGCTGTCTGCAGTCCACAGTAGACTGAGAAATAACAGGGAGTATCCCAGAATCACATAGTTCTGAGTTTGAAGGGCCCACAGAGCCCTCAGAATATACTTTCTCTTTTAATTGTTCAGATAAGAAACTGAGATCCAGAAAACTTATATAGACATGAGCAGAATGGACTCATGACCATGGTTCTTCCTCTAAACCTCACTAGGTTTGTAAAAGATAACAGGTAGCCACAGCATTGGAGATTGTTACAGATGGAAAGTTCTCCACTAGGAGTGTCTGTGGTTAACACAATGACTAGGGGGCACTGTGACATTCAGTGAGCAGGAGTCAGGATGCTAAACAGTTTGGAATATACCAGAGATTCCTGACTAATGATCTGTCCTGCTGAATACCGAGAGTGCCTCTGTTGTCTACCAATTAACTTGACGGTTGAGGAATCTAAGCCTACAGACAGAGGTTTGACCAAGTTCTCAAAGGCAGTGAAAGCAGTTCCCCAACTCTAGACCATTGTTTGTCCTACTCTGTCCTACTTGGTTCCTGAATGAATCAGTAGTAACCTTGGTGCCTTCTTCAAAGAAGTGACTTCAGCTCCCTGCCCCTGGGATCCTAACTCCTTTGCTCTGGAAGCAATTGCAGGGTCAGCACTTACTTGGACTTCAGGCCCTCCTGTCCATAGGGCTGCAGCAGATACTGGTGCACCAGCTTGTCCCTGAGAGTGCCGGCCAGTTTGATTTTCTTTCTTGATCGGTGCAGATTGATGATAAAAAGCGTAATGGACCCACGAACGTAATTATGGCTGAGATCCAGAGACATAGAAAGAAGAGAAAAGATGGAAACAACGTGGTCAGTTAGATGCTCTTAAATCATTTATAGATTGATTACATGAAATAGGACGACCCCAACAAAGGGCACTGATTTTATGGTTCTTGGCTAATGTAGGGCTGCAAAGACAGGAAAGCTTTGTTGTGGTTTCTTGCAAAGAAGAGACCCACTTCCCACTACACTCTTTGTATTTATTTAAATGTAGTGAAAAGATTTTAGAAAACAAAACTAACATGCTGACTGGGGGAAAAAAAACAAAGGAAAAATATAGGGAAACAAGTAAAGGAAAATCCCCATAACTCTAGTATCTTGACAACTAGTTAGTAATAACATTTGGGTAAACATTCTTCCAGTAACTTTTAATTTATGAATTCAACAAATATTTATGGAGTACTTTGACACATACATGCCTTTTACTCAGTTTTTACATAGTTGGGATCACACTGTTCACACAGCTTTCTTCATTTAATGAACATCTTTAACATGTTTCCATGCTATTATATACTCTTCTACTTGTAGAAGAATGCTACATTCTTCAAATAGAAATGCAACATAATTTATTTAACTAATCCCCTATTTTTGCAGACTTATATTGTTTTCAATGTTTTACCATTGTAAATTATGTGCTGAAGGGCTTCATTGTACTTTTGGTACATCGGAATGTTTTTGATGGATAAAGGCTTAGAGGTTGGAATCATTAGGTCGAAGAGAATACATATTATATGATACCTCACCACACTTTCTGATTCTTTCTCAGTGGTGTCCATTCTTGTGGAAGATGTTTATAATTATGCTCAGCTGAACCCCAAAGTGATCACACACGGGAATGTGGATGGACATGTTAAAAACTGTAAGAAGAAGCTTTAAGAGCCAATGCATGTTTGCCTTGTCTCTATTCCTTCTGACAGAAGACTGACAATGTTGTTGATAGAGACTGTTCTATTGGTCTGGGTCCTAGAGTAAGAATAATCAGAACAAGCTACAAGTAGTGAGAATGAGAAACACGTTTTCTTATTAAAAGGCATGAGGCTTTTGGAGTTCTTTCTTAGCATAATTTTTTGATAAATTGATAGTTATTCCCCAGAAAATTTGTACCAGTTCTCCCCATCAAGTATACATGCAAGCCCCCTACATAGTAAACTTTTAAATTTTTAAAATATCTTTGTCAACTTAACTTGAGAGGCAGAAATGGGATTTCAGTGTTGTATTAAATTTGTGTTTTTAAATTCACACTGAGGTTCCGCATTATTTCCTTTTGTCTGTCATTTTTATTTCTACTTTCATGAACTGCCTGTTCATGTCCTTTGCCCATTTTTCTATTGATTTGAAAAAAAGGATTTCTTTATTAAACTTAGCAATCCTTTGTCTGCATGTACATTGCAAAAATTGTGCCTCCTTTTCTTTGATCTTTCCAGTTTGTTCGCATTGTATCCTGATGTATGAAAGTTCAACTTTTTGTAGGTAGTTAAATTTATTGATTTTCTTTTTGATTTCTGCTTCTGATATTTCACTCACTCTAAGATTATGAAACTATTCATCATTTTGCAATCCTTTTACCAGTACAGGATGTTCAGAAGCCTGGGAGAACTGTATGCCAACATATTAGAGCCTTTCAGCATGTATCAACAAAACTATAATGATTTCCTTCTCTCTTGTAGGAAAGAAGACTTTGTTTCTAAGGGGTCCCTTAGGGCCCCATCTGGATGGGTTAATGAGAGGAAACAGAAAAAAAATGGGCTGACTCCGCCTTCAAAGGAGGAGTTCAGAGAAAGTCTAAGGCAACTTTGCCCAGAGGAAAACAAAACAGCACCCTCTGCCTTCGGGTCTCTCCTCTCTGCGTCTAAAGGTGCTAATTAAGAGTTGAGTGACCAAGGGCAGGCCCATATAATAAATTGGGATTTCCGAGACTCATCCCTGATGATTTAGAATCGATAGATTTGGGGTATGGCCTGGATACGTGTATTTAAAAATTTAGGGGGTAGATTATTTGACAGATAAATTAGATTTAGGAACCAGCTTGCCTAAAACAATGAGAGCTCCCAAGTATATCCTGCTGGCTGTGCATGAGATATATATATATATATATTTTTTTTTTTTTTACTTATGTAGGAGGACACATTACTGTGCAGAAGAAATTTTGACTTAGCTGACTCAGTCTCTTTTTCAGAGCCTCTCTTTGATCTCTTGCAGCTTTATCAACAAATGAGTTAGATCAGAAGAGAAGGACATGTCATCACAGCCCTGAAGAAAGGTGTTGATTGTTTATCATTACTAAAGCACACTGACTCTGGTCCATTGGTAGGTTTTAAGATTAGCTTAGCTACAGGGTCAGTATGAGTTGGAACTGACTCAGTGGCACTTAACAACAGTATATGAAAAGGAGGAAGGCTCTCATTAATGATAGGGACTCTGTGCTTCACTGTTGTCGTTGTTAAGTGCCTTGGAGTTGGTTTCCAAAGAGCAGCTGGTGAGCTTGAACCACTGACCCTGTGGTTCAAACCAACTTTGCAGTCCAGTGCTCAGCCCACAGTGCCACACCAGGATTCCGTCTGGGCTTCATCGTGTGAGTAAAAGTAAACACGAGTGGGTTTCTATTTTGCCAGACTGCTGTCAACCCTTCTGCTAACATCAACAACCCTCTCAACGTCCAGCAATGGAGGACGGGAACGCCATGTGCCTTCAGTTGCAGGTTTCTTCACTATGGACCTGGAGCAGAATGAGTCCTTGGAGACCGCAGAGAAGGGTGGGATGTGGGGAAGTGGTGGGTGGGTAGGAGACCTGAAGTCACAGCATTACTTGGGAGAAAGGTGACTTTTCAGTAGTGATCTAATTTTCGTTTATACAGTCCCCTGAGAAAGACAACTCATTACCAAAAGCCAGTTCCTACCTCAATACCAGTTTCTACCTCAGAGTATCCTCAGGTAGGAACTGGTATTGAAGGCTGCCCACGTAAACCTCTCCCTTCGTGGCTTTGAGTGTAGCACCAACCTGAAAGTACTGCGCTAAGAGTTGAGACCTCCTGATAAATGTACATTCTCTACCCATAGAAAAAAGAATCTTAGAGGGATATTTGCTCCCTAAGAACTTGGGCTGTGAAGGCTTGGCATGCAGGAAAATTCTGGTCTTCTATCCAGTCCATTTGGCCTCTAGCTTATTAGTGAATGTACCTTTCTGGGAAGAAGCTGTTGGCATAGAACACCTATCTGTCTTGCTCTATGTCTCATTTGTAGCGAGACTTTTTTCCCCAGCAGCACGGATGTGCTCATATATGTATCTGGAACACATCTTTGCTGGCTGTTCTTTTCCTGTCTGACATCTTTTCTGTGTTGCCATGGGAGGAGGAGGAGAAAGTGAGTCAGGGAAACAGTCTGGAATTGGAATATCCTGGATGTAATAAGGGAAGTCCTACAACGAGGTGCATCTTGACTTCCAGATTGAAAACATTCACTAGTCTAGAAATGTCTCTGGTGAAGCTGCAAGACTGAGATGCAGAAGGGAGGATGCTATGTTGTAGTTATTAGCCATTCCCAGTGAAAGTCAATGTGCTTGAACACTGGGTTGGTCCATTGTCTCCAAATCTAATTCCAACTTTTTGGGTTCGGTAAGAGTCAGGTTATGTTTTGCCAAACATTTTTCCCCCTTAATTTCAAAGCCCCTGTGTATTATAAAGGAAATTTAATACACATGTTTCTGATTCATTTACACTTAACTCATCAAAATATTGTTTTGTAAGAGCCATTTGATGTCCAAGATGCCTCAGGAACCTTTTTTTTAATGCGTCTTTAAAAAAAAAAAAAAACTTCTTCTGAAAAACAGGAAGTCTTGTTTTGCCAATAATAAACGAACTTGAACCCTGAAAAACTCTATTTCATTTCAACATTCACCAGGTTCCAATTGGTTCTGAATTTGGCTATGAGTTTCGGCTCCCCCCAGAAACATACATTGTCTCAAAAGAATGGTTGTGAAAAGATATCCCAGCCCAAACTTTTTTGTGTTCTGATTAGGAAGATCTTGGGTGACAATTTTTAATTTGCTAACTCTAGAACAGAAAGCAGAAAAGCACCTGTTGGTATGGATATGAATATACACAATTTTCAGAAATGACCCACAATGCAAGAGATGGCCCCGAGAAGCAGTGAGTATTCAAGTAGAGGTTGCAGGACTGTCTGCCAGGGAGATTGTAGAAGGGATTCCCATGCTGACCAGGACTCTAGGCCAAGTTATATTTAAGGTTCTTTCCAAATGTAATTTTTTTTTACATCATTAATGCTAGGAGTGACATTATAGAACCTTTGGAATTCAGTAAGATAATATAAATGTAACTATCTGGGACAATGACTGCCAAAAGCAAGTCTTCAGTATACACCAGAAAACAGGAGTTGTTAAAATAGACACTTTCTCTGGTCTTTGCGTTTCACTAGTTATGTTTTCTCCTCCAAACCCTGTTTCGACCAAGGACATCGATTTCCCAAGAGTTGGTGTAAGTTGAATGGTGTGAAGCCAACATGCCCACTCTGTCCAAGTCTACTACCTTGGCCTCGTAGGCCACGAATAAGATTAATGAGTCAATAGTGCTACTTTGTGATGGTTGTGGAGGATGAGGGACACGGACAGGACATCTGACTTCCTAGAGAGAAGATGAGATTTTTCCATCCTTCTACCTGCCTGGCAGCACCTGTCACCAGTTAACTCATCATGGACTCTGTTTTTGGATCTAACAGGAATGAAAACTTCTCCCTTATTACTATCATTAGAACCAGGTGTCCCATGGATTAACAAAGTCTTTTCTTTCTTGATTTTTTAACGGGCAGAAAGAAGGTGGCATTGACAGAACAGACACTGTTTTCCCTAAGAAGTTCTCAAGCGACCTTCTGGAGCAAGCCGAGGGGAGCTGGTGATGCAGAGAGGGAACTCAAGAATACTGGTAAATGAGTAACTTGCTTGCAATCTGAAGCTAGTGAAAAACACAACTTGTAAGCACTTCACCACCTCCATCTGGCTGATGTTGTGAAATCAACGAGGACGAGAGCTACTACTATGAATCAGCAATAGCATCTTGATGTCCTATTTCTGCATTCATTCATTCATCAAACATTGACAGAGACCTTCTTCCTATCTTAGACACCAAGAACATGAAAATGGAGGTAACACTGGCTCTGAGTTCCCGATATACTCAGAATATTTGTGACAACTTCCCAGGAGAATGTTAAAGAGCATCAGGGGGAAAATTAGAATGAGACTCTGTTGAGAAGTTCTCAGGAAGGCCACCAAGTCCTGTGAGGCTGCTGGCTCCTGACATTTTCCCCTGGGCTCTCAGACCAGTAATCCAAAGGCGGTTGTGCTTTCCAACTGGGACAGAAGGTGCCAAGAGGACTGGTTCTCTCTGAGACTAGAATCTACTTTTTGAGTGTGATACTGTAGGATAAGCACTGGGCTGCTAACCACAAGGTTCATGGTTCAAACCCACCAGTCATTCCTTAGAAACGCTCTATGGGGTTGACCATGAGTTAGAACCGACTCCATGGCACTTAACAACAACAACACCCTTGAGGTTGGGCAGAGACAAGGAATACAATGTTTCCTTGTGTGGTGATCCGATAACTTCGGGCCAAGACCACAAAGCAGTGACTCCTGTCAGTTATTGGGCTGAGCTTCCTGTGGAGCAAAGGGCATGTTGAAAACCTTTTGGCCTCTACCCAAACCAGTGACCCTTCATCCACAATAGGCACTTGTATATACAGACAAGACAACGGGCCCGGGCCCCCGCTCTGCTCAAAGTGATTCTTTGAAAAATCTTATCAGGATAAATGAATTGGCTTGGCTCCTCTCTCATAGAGGAAGGGGAAGGCACGTCTGCTGTAACCTGACCACTGTGGGCTCTTTGAATGTCCACCCCTCCTTGATCAGCCCTGATAGGCCAGGAGTGGGGTGGGGGGTGGGGGGTGGGGACGGGCATGAAGGCCACGCTGGAGGGTCTTGCTTGCCCTTTCCTCCCCATGAGATTTTCTCTGCAGTGAGATAAAGAATTCTCTTTGCCTGGGCTGCCTCTTCTGCCCCCTCCCCCCAGGAAGTGAGACAAGAAAGCCATATTTGGTCTAATGGGTTTTACTTTAGACCCAGTTTTAAATTTTTACCTTCTGGTCCTCATGTTTTAAACATTTTATCTGTCAAACTGTATGTGTTTATGAAAATTAATTTTCCGGTTTGTCTTAAAGAAAAGCATTACAATTAGTGCTTCAGGTAAGGAGACATCATTACCACGCTGGATTATAAGTGTGGTTATAATTTTTAAATTTAGGCTTATAAATTCTAAGGCCAAATAAAGGAAACCCAGATTCTGTTTATTGTCTTAAATCTTAAAAGAGCTGAAAAGATTCTTGAAATACTGAAAATGGTTCTAAAGCTGGCCTGATGATCTTTGAGCCCCTCCTTATTCTGGGAGGTCAGCTTGACATGCACTGGTCTGGGTTGAGGTTTCTGTGGACTAGCTCTTCATCCCCCACATGTAAGTCTTATTGCCTCAGTCGCCACTGGTGCACGTGAGTAGAGTTTATAGCGCTCGCCTTGGTTCAGGCTTGTTAAGTGCAATCAAGTTGGTTCCCACTCATAGCGACCATGTATAAGGTTTCCTAGGAGTGGCTGGTGGATTTGAATCACTGATCTTTCAGTTAGCAGTCCAGTGCTTATTCTACAGCACCACACCAGGACTCTGGTTCAGGCTTGTTGTTAAGTGCCGTTCCTGATTCATAAAGACACAGTATGGGGTTTCTGAGGAGCAGCTTGTGGGTTTGAACCACCCACCTTGCAGGAAACTTATTCTACAGAGTCACACCAGTACTCTGGTTCATGCTTGTTGTTGTTGTTAAGTGTCACTGAGTCATTTCCAACTCATGGAGACCCTGTTTCTGAGGAGTGGCTGGTGGGTTTGAACTGCTGATCTTGCAGTTAGCAGTCTAGTGTTTATCCTTACGTGCCACACCAGGACTCTGGTTCAGGCTTGTTGTTAAGTGCCATACAGTCGTTTCTGATTCATAGCGACCCTGTATAGGGTTTCTGATGAGCGACTGTTGGGTTTGAATCACTAACCTTGCAAAAAAAAACAGTCCAGTGCTTACCCTAAAGTACCACACCAGGACTCAGGTTTACGCATACGGAAAAGCCTCAGGGGTATTACATCAAAGAGAAAATTCACAACAAAATTTGTTGAATGAATAAGTAAGCAAAGCTTTTGTGAAGTATGACAAGGTTTGCTTTGAGAAAAGTCTATGTGCCAGAGATTGTCTGAAACCCTGCAAACAGCAGGTATAGTTAGTCCATAGGCAGTTTTCAGCTCTGGAAGATGAGCAATGAGCAGTACATCTGTCCCAGATAGCACGGATTCTGAAAGGGGCCCCAAGCCCTGGGAGTGGTGGTCCCGTGCCCTTTGTGAAAACTCACTTATGGGGGTTTGTGCAGTGAGCATAAATCCTTAGTTTATCCCGGATCACTCGACCTGGTCGTGGCTTCCGCTGGAGCCCCGCCACGTGCACAGCCAAGACTTTGGGGCCAATCAGACGCTTGTAAAGGAGAGAGAGCCAGTAGTCCTGAGGAGAACAGAGAGGCAGAGTCAGCGAGAGTGCATACTCAGGTGTTCTGAGTAAACTCAACAGACAGGCACAAGCCAGAAAACACCTTATCGGCAGCAGTGAATCATGAACAATGAGACCCTAACCCTGCAAGGATGCTTACCCCAGCTGTGGGTAGATAACAGAGCTGGCACTGTCTGACTCATTGGGGAAATGTAAAATGGAACAGACCTAGGGTAGTATGTGCAGAAATGAACACAAAATTTTCACATAGTGAAATAGCAACCAGTTTGGGCCTTAAATTTTAGAACTTCATTTTCCTCCAGCTTTACTTTGCATACTGGTTTATGATTTCTGTTTAATTGGGAATGGGAATTCAATACGAGCATTCAAAACATCCTTTAGTTACAGTGATTCCCTGTCTTTCAGAGTAAAACTGAGTAGAACCATTGAAAAGCTTATGAGGCACAGTTCTAGGACTGATCGTAAGTCGGACTCCTTACTAACTTTATCATTTTCCAAAGAGTTTACTAGCTATTGTAGCCCTGTATCATAAATAGCCTGACCACTGACCACCAAGCTCATCTTTATCACATACTGCCATATCACACCACAACTTTGATGCTATGTATCTCATTATTTATTGGTAGGAGTCCTGGTGTGGTGCTGTGGGTTAATGTACTGGACTGCAAAGTCGGTTTGAACAGTAAGGTTGGTGGTTCACAGTCACCAGCCGCTCCTCGGAAACCCTACACAGAGTTGCTATGGTTGAAACTGACTCAATGGCATACAACAACGACAACATATATTGGTAAGAAATAGTACGCAAACCAAACCCACTGATGTCAAGCCAAGTTTGACTCCTAGGGATGCGACAGGACTTAGGAGAACTGGCCCATGGGCTTTTCAAGGCTGTCATTCTTGCAGGGGAGCCCTGGTGTTGTGCTGTAGGATATGTATTGGACTGCTAACTACAAGGTTGGTGGTTCAAACCCAGCAACTTCTCCTTGGAAGCGCTGCACAGGGCTACTATGACTTGGAACTGAAGTAATGGTCCTTAACAATCACAATCTTCACTGAAGCAGACTGCCACATCCTTCTCCTGAGGAGTGGCTTGTAGGTTTGAACCACTGACTTTCTGGTTAGCAGACGAGCATGTAACTACTATGCTCCTGGAGACCCTTAAAAAAATACTGTATCACTCACTACAGAATTGTGTTTCTGAATTTCTTATTCTTTCACTGAACTCACTTTCTCTCTTTATCAGTTTTGTATCATTTTAATTATAATAATTTAGATTTTAATATCTAGAAGTCAAAGTCTATTTCATTATAATTTTTCCTTCTTTGCTCAAATCAGTCTTACCCATCTATTTTTTCAAATAAACTTTGGAACCATTTTCTCATAGTGTCTGTGGTCACAGAGATGTTTGAGGTGAGGATGACTTTTGCTCTATGGCTGGGTTGTTGTTGTTGCTAGGTGCAATTGAGTCGACACCGACTCATAGTGACCCTATGTGCAACAGAATGAAACACTGTCTGGTTCTGGGCCAACCTCACAATTGTTTCTACGCCTGAGTCCATTACTGCTGCCACTGTGAAATCCATCGCCTCTTTTTCTCTAACCCTCCACTCTACCAAACATGGTATCCTTCTCCCGAGACAGGTCCCTTCTGACAATATGTCCAAAGAATGAGAGACGAAGTCTGGCCATCCTGGCTTCCAAGGAGAACTCTGGCTGCACTTCTTCCAACACAGATTGGTTTGTTCTTTTGGCAGTCCGTGGTACTTTTAATAATCTCCTCTAACACCATAACTCAAATGCATCAATTATTCTACGGTCTTCCTTATTTACTGTTCAACTTTCATATGCTTGAGGTTATTGAAAATCTCATGGCTTGGATCAGGCCCAATACAATATGTCATTTGATTTCTTGATTGCTGCTTTAATGAGTGTTGATGGTTGACCTGAGTAAAATGAAGTTTTTTACAACTTTAATCTTATCTTTATTTATAGGGATATTGTTAATTGGTCCAGTGGTGAATTTTTTTTTTTTGTCTTCACACTGAGATGCATTCCATACCATTTTATCATATGTCAAAGATAAAACATGACTCTTCTAAGCATCCTGGAAGAAAACAAAACTCCAAAATAAAGAGGCTGCCCGGACATACACTGATATGGAGCCCATACCCATGTTACATTTCAAAGTTTGGTAGTTCTGTTTTCTTCCAGGATGCTTAGAAGAGACATGTTTTATCTTTGACATCTGAACTTTTACCAGAAATGCACCAATGTAGGCTTCCTCATTAACTTATGGTATTTGGGAAGTACTTTTGACCAGAAGAGTCCTGGTGTGGTGCTGTAGAATAAGCATTGGTTTGGTAACTGCACGGTCATCAGTTCAAACCACCAGTTGCTCTTGTGAAAATGTTATTCAATTACACTTTTAAATGATTCTTTCTTTCTATCTGCTCCAATTGTTTCAGGAGTTTATTTGTCAGTTTTTCATCTTCAGTTCTGTGCATCTATTGTTTACTTTCTCATTTTAAAAACTGTGGTAAATATATATATGAGTATCATAAAGCATCTTAACCTTTTCAACATTTGCCAGTTGGTTTCCTTCTGTAAGACTGTCTCAAGTTTGTGCTACATGTTGCTGTATCTATTTTCTCTAGAGTCATTTCTGTTAGTTACTAAATCCTTGTAATCTTTTCTTGTCTCATTTACCTTTCTTGTCTGGCTTATAAGCACTGGACTGTTAACCACAAGATCCACAGTTCACACTCATCAGTCACTCTGCAGGAGACAGACAAGGTTTCTGCACCCATAAAGATTTAAAGCCTTGGAAACCCTCTACAGACTCAGTATGAGTTGGAATAGATTCGATGGCAATAGATTAGGTTATTGTCTGGTTTCAAGTTCTTACAGATGAAGACCAAAGACTACAGCCTTCAGTATGTATTACACTTCAATATAAAGATAGTAAAACTCTCACAATTGGATCAATAAACAATATTATGATAAGATGAGAAAACATTAAAAGTTGGCAAGGATTTCGTTTTACTTGGATTCACAACCAACAGCCTTGGAGGCAGCAGTCAAGAAATTAAAGGATATACTGGGCAAATTTGCTGCAAAGCTGGGAGTCTTTTTTCTTCTTCTTTCTTTCCTTCCCTTCCTTTTTTTTTTCCTTTTTTTTTTCCTTAATGTTTTATTGTGAATTATGTGATAGTCTACATGGGAGAACATTAGTTTTCCATTCATCCTATCGTATATCATTTCTGTGCTATTATTTCTCCCCTTCCTTTTACCTCTCTTTCCCTCTCCCTCCCTTCCTCCTTTCCCTCTAGGTACGAAGGTGAAAGTTCACAATGATATTTTTTTTTGTATTTAGAAATGATCCGAAATCTTTTACAATGGAAACAAATTCTTACAAGGAGGAAAAACAGGGAATATTTTTTGAATGTTCAGAAAATCAGAGACCAGAAGACATTTTATTTCTACTTTTGTACTAAGCATGCATTAGTAAGCATGACAATAAGGAAAACCCTTATTCTGCTGGCAGACTGAGGCACTTTCCAAGATTGAGGGGCTTTACAAGATTAAGTGATTTTCCAAGATTGAGTGATATCCCAAGATTGAGTGATTTTCCAAAATTGAATGATTTTCAATTCTGGGTGACTTTCTAAAATTGAATGACTTTCCAAGATTAAGTGATTTTCCAAGACGGAATGATTTTCCATTACACTTTCAGAGTACATTTACATTCCTTTTGGTATTCTAAGAAAACTATCTGTCATGCATCTCTTTACCGCCATTTCCAAAAGTGTACATCACTGGACTCAAGTCTTCATTTCTTTCCCCAATTCAAGGACAGAATGTCCAGGTGAAGAGTCCTGGTGTGACACTGTTGGAAAAGCACTGGACTGCTAACCGAAAGGGGGGTGGTTTAAACACACCAGCCATTCCTTGGAAACCCTAGACAGGGTCATTATGAGTCGAAATAGACTTGATGACACTCACCACCACCACCAACGATGCCCAGGGAAACCCTGTGGTCTAGGTAACAGCTATATATTATTCCTGTGATGAAGGTGAAAATGTTTTTTTTTTAATTTTAATGTTTTTTTTAAATCAGAAACCATTTGATTCTTAACATATCCATTCCCAATTAGTTCATAAACATTATTTAAGTACACAAGCATTTATAGTAAAGTTGTGTGTATATGTATACCAGCAAGAGGTTGATAACCATCAGATATTGGTTCCCTTGGGCTGGGCAGAAGGAGTCAGGGGCTGAGATAAGCAGGGAACTCATAGGTTGATGGAAGTTACTGATCATGTTTTAGTTTTAGGGTTGTGTGGTGCATTTGCTGGTGCTGCTTGTCTTAATGTTTGCTTTCAGAATCACTTGTAATCATAGATCATGTCTCAAATACTATATTAAAGATAATAAAGGAAAAGTGATGTCTGCATTTATCAGGGTTTCCTTTGCTAAGGTTATATCACTGCCAGCTCTTGCAACTGCTTTACTCAAAGGGAGCCGGATTTATGCTGATTTGATTTGAGTTTATCATAATTCCTTCAGGGATGGATTTCTGACTGTAAGTTGATGTTAGTCTGAAAGTCAAGGTGAATATGGTATATTTCACCTTGACTTTGCCCTGTGTATAGTTGTCAGACTTCTTCATCCATGGCCTTCCATCAATTTTCCACTTATCCTACTCCAGTCTCCCTCTTCCTCTCTATTTATCTCTCCTTCAACTCTCAGCAGAATCAAATTACATTTTTTTTCTTTCCTTCCTTCCTCCCTCCCTCCCCACCCTTTCTTGTCATTTTACAAAGAATGTGTGTCATCCAAATAATCATAAATAAAACTAAAGCAATGGAATCATGAAATACTTAAAACAATTGAATATTTTCTCAAAAAAGGACATGTAAAGGAAAATGTATTTCTATGCATAGAACAGGTAGGGGGAAAAAAAAAGACTGCAATACACATCTAACAAAAAATA